GTATGTACCCTTGCTTCTCTGGAGGAGCATCCTACTAACGTACTGCAGAACCACCTGGCCTTTCAAGACGCTCAAGCACGACGACCTCGCCCAGCAGTTCATCAACCGCCAAACTCGCGACCAATGCCGACCCAGCTTGACCTGGACTACATCCGCCAACGGCGCCAACATCGAGTCTGTCAACGTGTACACGGCAGGCGGAAACAAGTGTGGCACCACCATACCCATCACCGTACCAGGCGCCGTGGCAAGCACGACCGGAGCGACGAAAGAGCAACTGGGAAGCGATCCGCTTACACTATGGGTGACTATGAGCGGCGCAAGCAGGCAGTACAAGTTCTCAAAGGCCATTCCGCTGTAAACACAAGCATCCTTTGGAAGAACATGGCGTCGGTCATTATCGCAATTGTCATCTTCAATGTATATCTTTTAGCTGAAGCTCAGTCAAAATTGTCTCTGTGTTTTTTCCCTGCATCCAGCATGACCAGTGAACAGCTGCGGAGTTTAGGCGGTCATCTCTGACCCCTGAGCTAACCCCACATTCGCACAGCCACAACATCAATATGGGTGAACATCAGAACCAACCTGGCGGGACAACTGCGCCGCATTTCGCTACCTGCGTTTTGCAGTATCACCACACCCGACACGTAGTCACATCGTCTCTCGAAAGCGATCCAGTCCTGCCGTTATACTGTGGCCTTTTCCTAACAACTAAACTAATGGTCTTACCCCCATCGATCGACAGTGTGTTCAGCTGCCAACCTTTCCAACCGGGAGCGAATTCCTTCGGCACGCCTCACCCGCAATATGACTGCATGAGCGCTACACCAATTACAGTTACTATGCGTCTTACATACAACAATTATATATTGCCTACATATGCAAGGGTGGCGCACGTCACTGCGCCGCTTGCGACGCGTCTTCTCGTGATATTCCCAGGCTATCAAGTTGTTTTCCGAAGCGTTTGCGGAGAGTTGGGTGTGGGTTGTCAGCGCGTAAAAGTCGTCAACTTGGTAGGACTATTAAAACCAGGTCTTGCATGATTGAAAGCATCGTGCCTGGAGTGTGATCGGAAACTCTGCGTCGGTGGAGGAACTTTTAGAGAGTCGGCGTATCTTATCTTCTTCGTCCAGCAACCGGTCGCACAAAGGCATGATGTACGCGAAACCCAAAGCACGACAGCCATGGTCTCTACGACGCAAGATCCTCCTCGTAATCGGCATCGTCATCCTAATCCTCGCCTTAGGCCTCGGTCTAGGTCTGGGCCTCACATTAGGACGCGATAACGACGGCAACGACAACACCTCACCACCAACCTCAACCCTAACACCCCTCCCCACACCAAACACCACACTCCCATGGACACCATCCGTATCCGATACCTGGCAAATCATCCTCTCCCACCCACCCGTTCTCTCCTCTTCAGACACCAGCACAACGCCCAACGTCAGCATCTTCGATATTGATCTCTTCGATACGCCCACCGAGACGATACGACAGCTACACTCCATGGGCAAGAAAGTGATATGCTATTTCAGCGCAGGCAGTTACGAAGACTGGCGGCCCGACGCGTCGGAGTTCAAGAAAGAAGATCTCGGGCGTGATCTAGATGGGTGGCCTGGGGAGAAATGGTTGGATTTGGGTAGTGAGAACGTGAGGAGGGTGATGAAGGGGAGGGTAAATTTGGCGAAGGAGAAGGGGTGTGATGGTGTTGATCCTGATAACGTTGATGGATACGTAAGTAAATACCCACCTCCATGCCTTTACCCACCGTATAGTCGAATGTATACTAACAACCCCACCAGCAAAACAACAACGGCCTCTCCCTCACCCCCTCCTCCTCAATCTCCTACCTCCAATACCTCTCCTCCCTCACCAATCCCCTAAACCTCACTCTCGGCCTCAAAAACGCCGGCGACATTATCCCCGCCGTCCTCCCCATTGTCCACTTCAGCGTTAACGAGCAATGCGCAAAGTACGGTGAGTGCAGCACCTTCGCCCCTTTCATCGCAGCGGGGAAACCTGTGTTTCATATCGAGTATCCAGATGGGGCGGGGGCGGAACAAGGGTTGGAGGAAGATGTTGTGGGGAGGTATTGTGATAGAGAGGGGAAGGGGGAGGGGAGCGAGGGGTTTAGTACGGTGCTGAAGAAGATGGAGTTGGATGGGTGGGTGGAGTTTTGTGATAGAAGGGTTGAGGTTACGGATGTGGATGAGGGGGTGGGTGGTCGTGGGTAGAGGAGACGAGAAGGATGTAGTGATATGGCTCATGAACATGTCTTATCCATTCAAATCTGCCCATTACTTCTGACACCTAATATTGTGTTTAAGCTCGAATGCGCATGGTTTCGTCTCTGAACCAGCATGCTTAGCTGTATCAAGCTTTGCGACACAACCGGGTTGTCGTAGTCAGCTACGCTGAGTACAGCCTGCTCTGATCACATGATGTGGTGATTTCCTATACCTGCGAGGTCAACGATGGAGGCCCACCCCCGTGACCTGCCCCGTGCTGTCTGCTGACAAGGCGTTCTCTCTGCAGCAACATCTCCAGATCGTGATGAAACACTGTACCAGCAGCAAACGGGTCAGTCAGACTTCCAAGCGGTATGCCTCCCAGTATTCCCGGCAAGCAAAACTCTCACGCCCAACTCCATTCTTCCACATCTCCGCTACCCCAGCTCCCATACCCTTTCCTTCTGCTAGCCGTATATCACACAGCACACACAGCACACACAGCCTCGGGCTATGCAACTTGGCTTTAGCCGTCGTGAAAGCTGGAGAAGCCCTGCTTACACCGGCTCTTCCTACCGAAGTGATGGTGTGCTACGGCCGGGAATCTGACATCGGTGGCGTGTGTTTGAGGCTGACCAGCTCACTGGTGGAATATGGCGTTACCAGCATTTTGCTTGTTTGATGCATCAAGCAGAGAGTATGCATAGTATGTATTCAATCTCGGTACGGGTCGATTTTGCCAAGGTGTAGCTACCGGCCGGTTGAATGCGATTCAATATCCGATGCAGGTGAGGTGGAAAATCTGGGGCGGGTAGGTCGTTTGCGGTAGGTATGCTCGGCATATTGAAGCCGTCTAATATTTCGCCTGCGGTCGGTATAGTAAGACTTCTGGTCGAGCGGGTAAGCTGACTTGTTCGAGCAAGTTGCCGGGTGGGGCTGAGATGTCGAGGCAGAGAGGCGTATTCATCTGGTTCTAGAGCGCGATCTGGTGCACCGGTCCCGACACAAGATGATGCATTAGTTTCTAGATCTGAATTACGACGTTAGTGGCAGGTGTGTAGGTCCCCAGACTGCGAGATCACCGCCGCTCGGGTCCGGATGCGCGGTATGGCCGGGACGAACGTACATGTCGCATACAATACGAAGTACTTAGATTGACCATGGATCTCGATGCGTTACGCGGGTCGACATTGAGGTTATTCGGGTCTGTTGCAGACTTGTTCGTACCAGCGAACCAGAATACACGTCACACGAATCCTTCCCTTGATGCAAGCCACCATGGACGGTATATCCACCGTATCGTCGTGCGATACGAGCTTCTGAGAGTATCGAAAATCCTTCGTGTGGTTGCGATCACGCCAATCCACTTTCCATGTTCGGTAATCGGGTCCTGCCGCATATATTGGGATCCACTCTGTGTAACTGAAACGTTAGCACGAGGCGAATAGACTCAGCTGTGCTGTCTACCGGAAGTGTATTTCTTTACATCCCTACAAGCCAGTCTGCGTGGTTCACGAGAGCTCTTGCCAATATAGGTAGGTGAGTCCCGCATGTCGATGTCGTCATTTAGCGAGGCTGATCACGCGCAATGGCGTCGTCTCATCGTGTCTTGTTCTCTACCTGTGAAGGCTTAGCGATCTGGCAGAACGAATGGCTGTAAATAGCCATACGTGTCAAGAGCTGTCTTGGATGAGGTTTGCTTCGTGTTGTTGACCTCGTGTTGCTTGTGGTGTGATCCGAAAGTTGGCATCTCGCTTCCAGACCCAACCGAACGGAAGCGCAACGGACGCATCCTTTGAATGCAGCTAGAGAGGTTCATGTGGAACGAGAAACCTGCACAGTATGCTGTAAGCGAAGGTTAGAAGCATGATGCGGAGGAGCGCGACAGGCCGCGAGGTAGCAGTCATGGCGGCACGACTTCGGTCCTCTACACCTATCCATGCAGCACGTTCATTGTATGTCTTCGCAGAGCCGCCGGTACTTGGTATCCATCCTGTCGCGAAGTAACTCCGGTGGTCATCCAAGGATGACATACATCAAGGAAAGTGTCAATATCGAGGCCTGGAGCATCGCTTGGGAAGATGCAGAAATAGACATGGGCCGACGCGGTACGCAGCAGAGATTGAATTTCGAAATGAAGGCCAAGGTTGAAATAAAGTGTGTATGCAGCTCTAGTGCAGGACGAAAGGCTTGTTTGTTTGATCCGGGGAAACGCGCAGGGGTTGAGTGAGCTAGATCTGCCGCCTAAAGCGGCAAACAGGGGAGCTCTCGGGGTAATATTAGAGCCAACCAGATGAATACTTGGTAGTCGAAAATTTGAAGGCGGGTTTTTCGATGATCGTTGCTTGTTTGAAGACGGCATTGTGTAGCTGGGATAATTCCTCGTAAGCTTTCCTCGGATTCAACCGACGGAGTGGCGGACCGCTTGTGTCACGGAAGGACTTTTTACATCGCGGACCGCTCTTGACACGCCTCGTCACGGCGCATTAGCCGGCTCGCTGTTGAGAAAGCCACGGTAGTACGAAGCAGTCGTGACCAGAAGATCCTTTCCTTCTGCATGCCAGCTTCAATCCGAAGATCAGGATCACTCAGCCCCAGGCCTCTAGACAGTGTAGTCAAGTGATTAAGGCTTGCCGCATAAGTGCTCGTAGCCGATGAAGTAGTTGAGACTGACACAGAAAGGACAACTGTCGAAGACGTGGGTGTCTTGCGTGGATTAAGCGATCGATGACCTGATATCTACATCATTCAGTTCCAAGGCTGTGACCCTCAACTCAACAGCGCATCCAAGCCTTCGATAAACGCAGGTAGCACACCGTCGAGCTCGGTATAGTTCGAGCTACCTGTTAACCAGATGCCGCGGCCTACGGCTAGTAATTGCAATAGCGTACTAGCGGTCTCAAGAATCGACAGACCCGGTGTGGAGTGCACAAGCAGCGCAAGCTTTTCGCGATCATATGAACCCGTCGCCTTGAAGAGCTCGCCACTTTCAGTCGTCCAATTGGAAAATGAGTTCTCGAAAACAACGGTCAAGTCCGGCCCAGTGAACAATGCCTCATCAAAGTAACGAGGCTCTGGAAGAGCGCCAGGGTTGTGAACTATAGTGCAGTGTCAGCCTTACGCTCATGTAACTGCCGGAGTTGAATAATGGGGGTTCTTCTCGCCTGCAATAGAAACAGACCCATTTGAGGACGCATGGTAAAGTGTACAGCAACACGACAGGGGCCTCAAAAGCCGGCTTCGGTGACGGTCTTACTTTCAATACAGAAGAAGGCGGGCTGAGCTTACCAATGTAGTTGTCCTTTAGTCCGGTGCTGTCTTGAACAGCTTGAGCGATGCTATCGAGATACACGGCATAGTCTGTAGAGTATTGGGTAGGCGTCTCATCAACGAAGACACCACTCAGAGCCAGTGAGGAATCATATTCGCCCCAGAATGAAAACGCAGCAATGTCATCCAGCACAGAACTCAAGTCCCTGGTACACCACGTGGTTGCCACATAGCCGATAGTGCGTACATTACTGAGCGAGTTGAGGGCCTCGATGGCTGCGGTGTATTCTGCGTTTGGTAGTGCACCCTCTCCAGGCCCGTTATGCACGTTTACCACGACCGTAAAGTGTATGCGGGGGAATGATGATGCCCTGAAAGCAGTACATGGCGTTAGTCCCGGTATAATGAGTAGCGACAATAGTAGAGGTACCGTATCGTACACATCGTGAAACGGATCCCACGCGCCTGCTGAGGGGTAGACGTAGAGCGGAACAATTACGGAGCTGAGTCCGTCCATGACTCTGCTTTGAGCACGGTAGGCTAGGAGCCGATGACGAGACGCTGGCCCAAACGGAGATGAGCCGATAGAGAGTAAGATCTGGAGAAACACAGCTTACGGATACTGACGAACGCAGATGTGTAATGGATATCCTTATGGTGTGTTCGGGCACCAAGACGCTGACAGATGCCGGGAGATCGAGTAGTCGAACGAAGCCTCGCAGTATGCCCACGTTGAATCTCTGACGGCCCAGATGATGGTATTTTGAGATTTTAGAGGACGCGGCAATGCAACCACACGGGTACGTATTGCGCACTTGGCTATGCAGATTGGACAGGGATCGTTAGCGATGCGAGAGTATATTTTGAGAGTGCTAGACCTGAGGAGACTCCGAAACTGATGAGTCGGGATGAAGAGGCCGCATTATGCCAAGCAATGTAAACAATATTGACGGCGCAGGAAAAGTCTGACTTTGATGTCTTCTGCCTAATTGATCGCGATTTGAGGCTGTTGTTGAGAGTTGTGGCGCGTATAAAGAATTTCGGACGTATCGAGAAAGGTAGCGCCGTAACAATCAACGCGCTCGCTCTTCTCCATACATTCGTTCATTCGCCGCGCATAATTGTTCAAAATGTCGTCATCCTCTTCGACGTACTCGCTATCGCCCTCGATCACACCGGAAGTACTCAATACACCGGGAACACAGCGATCGGTGCTATTCGACGACGATGTAGTAGCGGATCCTCTGAACATCGATGGATCCACCTCGACCTTCATCATGGTCGTCGGTGGGCTGGGATACATCGGCTCGCACACAGTATTGGAGTTACTCAAAGAAGGCTACAACGTGCTGGTCATCGACGACTTGAGTAACTCATACGAAACCGTCCTGAACAGGGTGCGAGGTCTTGCGATTGACTTCTGCACGGCGCACGGGCGACGAATGCCAGCATTGCACTTCCGTCAGCTGGATTACAGGAGCGCGCACATGAAGACTGTACTGGCCAGCTATTCATCATATTCGATCATCAGCAAGCCAGCGCCTGCTCCAGCAAGATTCCCATACTCGACTTTGCAGAGAACAGACTCCGGTATCGACATGGATATGGATGACGCGCAAGAACCCGCTGTTGAGCGACTGTCCAGGATATCCGGCGTTATCCATTTTGCGGCGTACAAGTCGGTCGAAGAGAGCATACGGATGCCCTTGCGATACTACAGCAACAACGTCTGCGGGTTGGTTGACTTTCTGGGGTTACTGGAGGAGTTCGGCATCAAGAACTTCGTATTCTCCTCTTCTGCAACAGTTTATGGCGAAGGCGCTAATTGTGGGCTACCTCTGCGCGAAGAACTGTGCGTGCATCACCCAGAATCTTTCTTGGACAGCGACGGAGCAGAACGCCGAGTTTTGCCGGGCGTTCTGGGCCTCACATCACCGTATGGTCGGTCCAAGTTCATGTGCGAGTCCATTCTGGCAGACCTTGCGCTTTCCGACCCCACATGGTCCATAACCGCCCTACGGTACTTCAACCCGGTAAGTACATTCGATGATCAGGGTACGTATGAGACGTGTCTAACAACTCCAGGTTGGTTGCCACGAGTCTGGTATTCTGGGTGAAGATCCTCGACAGAAACCGAGCAATCTGATTCCAGTTATCGCAACAGTCCTGACAGGGACAAAGCCAGTGCTGGACATCTTCGGCACGGATTGGAACACCCCAGACGGCACGGCAGTGCGGGACTTCATCCACGTCGTCGATCTGGCTCGGGGCCATATTGCGGCTTTGGCAGCTTCGACGGCTGGTCGTACTTTAGCACCATTTCGCACGTACAACCTTGGTAAGTGGAGGCCTTATATGAGAACGTCTCACATTAAGGTCTGTGTACTGACTTCGACTCAGGTACGGGACGAGGACACACTGTCCGTGAGGTACTCCAGAGTTTAGAGGACGCATCCCAACGGAAGATCCCCGTCAGGGAAGTCGGCCGCAGGGCTGGAGATGTTGGCTTCTGTGTAGCGGAGGTGCGACGAGCAGAGACCGAGCTGCAGTGGAAGGCTGAGAGGTCCTTGAATGACTGTTCCGGGGACGTATGGAACTTCACTAAAGCTAGGTGTGTAGAGTCGTAGACAAGGGGCGTGCTGAGTGGCCCTGCACGGTTTCCTTCATCGTCCTTTCCCTGCATATTCTAGCATCAGCGGCATCTCTTCTCGTGTGAGTTCAGCAAGATAGACCATAGGCATCGAATTTAATACCCAATTTCTCACCAAACGATCAATGCGACCAATCAGTACTCTAGTTCATCGCCGCCGAAAGTTGCTGCAGGGCTGATAGTGTACAGGACGTCGTAGCTAGATCACGGAAATGAGCGAGACCTAGTAATGAGCGAAACCTAGTGGAGAGTCGACGAGGCTTAGAGGCAACGCGCAGGTACGCCTCCTTTCATATGCGTTCAGCGCCTAGACAGCCCGATTTTGGCCAATCGAGACGAACGCTGGATTGCTTTTTGGCGTCGTGTGGGTGGGTTCATCGCTGGTATCAGATAAGGCTGTGGCAGCATCTCGAGCCAAGGCCAGGTTGCATCGAGCCGAAATCTTAGAGGTACACTGTGCTGCTACGTCGCAGGCGCGGTACCATTTCCGTGACTAAGGCAGTCCAATGGAACGTGTAAGAGCATGTGGCGAGGCGACTACTTCAGCTGGCTCGCTACACTCAACCCTTTCCGCCGAACGTGCGCAGAACCACTAACCCCACGATAAAATGGCAAAAGCGAAGGCGGAATCCAGGCTAGCGATACGGCGGTGACGGGAATGCGCGCAAACGGCCCAGTAATGGACGACGGCAGTGCCGTGGAGACAGCTCGTTAGTTCCGATTCGCCCACTGTGCGTTTCAGTCCCGGCCGGCTTGCGTTGAAGCGGTACAAGCGAAGTACAGGCGACGGCAGGATCCAACGGTGCGTCAAAAGGGCAACGGGGCAGGCCGGCCAGGTTGACGGTACGATGGAGTTGCACAGAAGATGCTGTCCTGAGCTGAATGGGGCGACGATCACATAGGGGCCGACAACAAAGAGGCTGAGGCTCTCCTTGCGTCCTGCGGTTGGCGTCTTGAGTTGGGCGGAGACGGCCGATTGGGTGCAAGATGGAAGGAGGCTTCGGAAGCTTTTGGCGATTTCAGCGCTAGGCCGAGTAGACGGGCGTCACGTGCCGGGTCAACAGTACTAGCAGCCCGCACCCGTTGCAACCTCAACGTCTCTACCTACGCACAGTCGCAAAGCCCACGCCGACCTGGATACCGTGGATTCTGTATCGCCTGCGCGTAGACCGTTCTGTTGCGATGCCTCCCTCTGCCATGGCGATGCCGGGGCAACACATGAACGGCGCTCCTTCGAACATCTCGGCTGGCGTAGATCCCACTTACTGGGGCGGCCACCAGGACTTCTCACCGGACTCCACATCGCCATTGTCGCCCTCACTAGGGCTCCATCTGTCGCCGACACAGAGTATCACCACCCAGAGCAGCATCAATGGCGGGACTCCTCCGGCGCAAACGCCCCAGTCGGACAGCGGCGGCAGCAAGGGAACCGGCCAGAAGAACAGCCAGAAGCAGTCAAATAACGACCAGACCAGAGCCTCGGTCGCTGTCGCGTGCGTCCCATGTCGCAGTAGACACTTGAAATGCGACGGTGGTGTGCGATGTTCCCGATGTAGGACCGACAACGTGGAATGTACCTACATCAAGTCGCGAAGAGGCTGGAAGGGCAAGCGGAAAACCAAGGACGACACGGGCGCGTCCACGACCCCGAATGGTGGGTATATCGCAACGACGACAATATCAACCCAAAATCTAACGTGATTAGGAATATCTGCATCTGAAGTCCAAGCCAGCAATGGCCACATCTCGTCACCTGAGTACTCGTACAACGGCGATGCTGGCATGAACCAGCTCAGCCCAACTCACGGTCTTGGCGTCCGACCTGTAGCCCCACCAGTTGCTCAACTCAACCTAAATGGATCCGCGCGTCTGAACCGATTTGGCCACTTGGGACCCGAGACGGCTGTTCAGGCCTTCTACCACTTCTTCTACAACTCACATCCATTCTGCCTTCCGGAACGGAGGTTAGTGGAACTCTTCAAGGAACGACATGCCCCACTCTTGGAACATGCCGTGCATTTCATCGGATCCAGCTACATACCGTCGGTGCCTACGGCCATGTACAAGGAAGCGTTAGACCGTCAGATAGACAGCAACAACTACCCAAGAGATGCGTGGTCGGTCCAAGCCCTGCTCCTCTTCGCCATCGGCCTCCACGCCCACAACGAAGTCCCCCGCGCCGCCCAGATCTTCACCATAGCCCAAAACCTGACGCTGGAAATCGGGCTCAACCGGATGGAATTCGCGCTGATGCACGGCGAAAACGATCCGCAGTTGGAAGAAAGTTGGCGGAGAACGTGGTGGTCCATGTTCACGGCCAACGGCATGATGACAGCCGTCAACCCCGGCGTGCAATTCCGACTGAAAGACGTCGTAACCGACGTGCCACTGCCATGTGAGAACGTCGAGTACTTTTCAGGTGTAAGTACCCACTCCCCTGACATCAGATCTGACATGTGTCAAATCGGCTTGGCATGTTTCCCTTCTTAGTGCGAACCCGTGCCGCTCTTAGGTACTCGAGATGAGATCATCTGACTGCATGTCATACTCCGATGGGATGGGAGATCGATGCATGTCATACATGTGGGGTGGGGGTCTGCCGATTGCATGACCATCCTCCTGGGACTACACCCAAAACCTTATACAGATCACTAAACTAACAACCCACAAACAGCAAATACCCTACCCCTCCACCCTCTCCGACTACGACGACTCCGCCTTCCTCCCCCACTTCACAACCTTCTCCTCCTTCACCTACCTCATCGACGCCATCCGCATCTTGGGAAAAGTCTTCGAATGCGCGCGTCTAGACTCCACTTTCGAATACCACGCCGTCGACGTCGTAGACCAATACCTGTGCAACTGGCGCTTACACCTCCCGGCATCGAAAACAGACATCGTCTCCAACGACGGCCACATCGACGAAGTGCTCTTCCAGGCACACATGGTAAACGCCGGCAGCACAATAATGCTGCACCGCCCGCGCAGCAACCTCGGTTTCGGCCGCGTCGAAGGCGTAAACATATGCGTGCAACCCGGGCAGGTCCTCCTCCCCACGCAAACCCGCGAAATCCACACCGCGAAATGCCTCACCTCCGCTGAAAACATCTCCTCGCTCATCCGGCTCCCCGGTCCCCTGCTGTACCACACCCCCTTCTTCACCTGCGTCGTCGTAATGGCGTCCGTCGTGCACCTCTCCTACTGGTCTTTCCTTGTCCCCGACGGCCAGGACGACATCATCAAGCAGAGCATTCGGCTCGATGTCGGCACGTTGCAGCAATATAGCAATACGTGGCCGATTGCGAATGTGGTGTTGGGGCAGGTAAGGGGGGTGGCGCACACGCTGTTTAATAGTAAGAAGGCGATGTCAATACATCTTTGGAGCAATTTGCAGCAGGATGATGTTATTAGGGGCGTTATTGAGGAGGGGAGGAGTGTGCCGACGCAGCAGTATGCGCAGTTGATCGCTCCGTGAGTTTCTCCCTTTCTTTCTCTTCGTACTTGCTGTGTTTGGGCTTGTGCTAACATCATCGCAGGATGCTGAAATCGTAGACGTAACTTTTCGTCTTGTCGCTTTCGATTTTGTTTCGCATCGTCCTTGTTTTACTTGCGCGTTGTAATCATTTCCATCCGTTGTCTTCGTCGCGCGCGTCAAAAACGGTCGTTTCCCGACTCCAGCGAGCGAGCGAGCGAGCGAGCCTTCTACTTGTCAATTTTTCGGTCGTCGCTTTGATCCGCTATTATGCGACTCTGCTTGTCCGTATTATGAGCATACTGACATCACGCGTCATTTCTTCTATCGTGTCTGGGCGGTGGGCGGCGCATTCCATTGAAAAGTCCGAGCAAGCGGAGTTGGAAAAGAGCTCGAATTAATGAAGATACGAAACGCGCTGTAGTAGTAGTCGCAACGCCCTTGTGCGTGTTAATAGTAGAATCGAAAAGCTTTCTCAACTGCAATTCTGGTATATCACATTGTCATGCTCTGATTGATCGGAACAGTCTATTGTTCATTCGTCGAAACGCCGGCTAGTCCAGCGCTTCCTGTCGGATACTTCCGCCAGTCCTCCTCCGCATGCCCCGTTTTCGCCAAGAATGTCCTCAATTCTCGAGCTGCATATCCGTTGTCCCAGTCCACTAAATCTCGTCCATGTCGTATACCCATTAGAGCCCTAGCCGTGGCCTAGAGCAAGCTCATGACCGTATCTACAAATCGGCGTCGTCCTCATCGGGCAGAGGCATCTGGGCGGCGTTCTCCATCTCCTGTCGGTACTGGTCGAGAACGGCCTGGTCGACCTGGACCTCGGGAGGCGCCAGAGCGGGGGCGGCGACAAAGTCGAGAGACTGGTTGCCGACGAGTTTCCGGGCGAGCCAGAGGAAGGGCTTCTCGAAGTTGTAGTTGGACTTGGCGGAGATGTCGTAGTACTGGAGGTTCTTCTTTCGGTGGAAGGTGATGGACTTTGCCTTGACCTTGCGCTCCTTGACGTCGACCTTGTTACCGGTGAGGACGATGGGGATGTTCTCGCAGACACGGACCAAGTCACCTGGGGCTGTTAGCGAATGTGTATCGGGGGATTGTGGGCGCACGTACGGTGCCAGTTGGGGACGTTCTTGTATGTGATACGCGAGGTGACGTCGAACATGATGATACCGCACTGTCCGTTGATGTAGTATCCATCGCGGAGACCACCGAACTTCTCCTGACCGGCGGTGTCCCAGACGTCGAACTGGATCTGGCCGAGGTTCTGTCGTCTCGTTAGTAGGCGTGTCGCGGGCGGCAGAGGGGCGGATAACGTACTGTGGTGAAGCCGAGGGGGTGGACCTCTACTCCGAGCGTCGCGATGTACTTCTTCTCAAACTCTCCGGTCAAATGGCGCTTGACGAAGGTCGTCTGTGGTGGGGCTGTTAGCAACCTGCATCGCAGTCTCAAATTCTCGCAGTCTCGCCGTCGCGCGGCCGTCTCAATAGACGGGCTGCTATCGCGAGAAGCGTCGGAATGGGCGTCATACCTTTCCGGTACCACCGTCACCGACAAGCACGAGCTTGAAGGTAGGAACTGCGCTTGCAGCAGTCTCGGCCATGGTGTCGGGTGTTGTGGCGGGGTGATGTGGTGTGTGAGGGGGGTAGTGGGCAGAGTCTGTGGCAGAAAAGATGTCAGTCGGGGTCGCACAGGGTTATTGAGCAAAAGACGGTGGTGCAAACTCACGGGTGATAAAGAGTGGGGAAAGTAGCGGGCGTGAGGTGGGCAAGAAGAGGTTTTGTTGTGCTGAAGTGTTGGCGCCCCGGGCGGTGTAAATCTCTTGGCGCCTTCCGCAATTTTGACCTCACAGGCAGGCAGGCAGAGGCAGAGGCAGCGTTAGGCAGCGATAGGCTTCTTTGTCTCAACAGCCCGGGTTTGCCTTGCGCCTTTGTAGTCATAGATTGTGATTTACTGGCAAGTTTACTAGCAATTCCTTTCTGTTTCATCCCAAAGCAAACAACGCCGGGTATCATGCTATGCTTGTTGGCCAAACCGAGTGCGCCACGCGCGCTGCCGCCAGCCTTGCCTGCCACCCATCCAGCTCGACGTATCTCCCAGTTGACGTATCTCGTGATTTATAATACACTACATGGGCAGCAAGTGACAGCCCAACAGCCCCCTTCCGCCCCAGTTCCTCCGCGGTGTGAGTTGCATCTCAACTGTCTCTGCCGGGCCGCCCGATGGGTTGGGTCGCAGCGCCTTGACGGTAATGGGAATCTGCACTTGTCAGCCTGCTGCACGCCCGACTGAAGACAGCATCGTGTGCAGCGTGATGCGACGTACCCCTTCGTTCTGCGACACGGCCTCGGCCATGCGCGACAGGTTCTCGTGGTTTGTCCAGTCCACCCAGCCGAACTTGGTTATGGTGTCGTACACCTGTAAGCCGGCCGTCGCTGCCGGGCTGTCTGCGACGACGCTGTTGACCTTTGCAAAGGGCGCTTCGAGTGCGGCAGGCGGTGCGCTCAGCCCTGCCTGGGCGCCGTTGGCCGTCGTCGCGTCGCCCGCCTGCGCTGCCAGCCGCGCGTGGTGCTCGTGGAGGCCCTTCTCGATGCGCGACATGAGGTCCTTGTAGTCATTCTTCAGCCGTATGATGCGCGCGCGCGTGGTTCGGACTGCGACGGTCAGCGACCCTGAGTGACCTCGAAGATGACGCAGGCTCCTTACTCTGGGGGACATCGATATCACTGCGTGGGAAGCCGTCCAGCGTAGTCAGGCCGGTGCTCATGCGGACGCCATGCTACAACAAGACGTCAACTGCTTATCCCACCCATAGCCCTGATTTGCGTACCGAATCCAGCACCTGCCCTAATGCCTTCAACTCTGTCTCTACTCGGTCCTTCTCGGCCATGAGCTCCTGCAGCGTCAGCTGCTCTTTTGGTATGCCATTGGAGTAGCCTGCCGACGTGGGCCCAGACGAGACGGTTGGCGCGTGTATATCATCCATGGTGTGGAATGTTTGTCGCCGCAGAGTTTAAGAGTGCGTGAATGCTTACTACAGCTGGAGCTTGGATGTGGGGGTGGGAGCTTGAGGGAGCTTGAGCGTGCGGGGCAAAACCGCCAGGACGGTCGCCTTCCTTTTTCCTCCCTCACTTCTCTACCAAACTTCATTATCCCCAAGGCACGCGCGTGACCTCTTGCGTGCCAAATAAAGAGAATACTCCAGTCGCTTAGTATGCTCAGTCTTGCGATGGCTCGGCTCGGCTATAGACATACTTGTTCTGCACCTCCGCCGCTCCTGCCGTCATAGTGAGACGCGGTTACCAAAATTTGGTGAGAGCAACGCGGCCGCCATGTTAGCTGCCTTCGTCGATGGCTCACCACTCGCCCCTAACGAAACTCTGTCCATGGCTCTCGGTAAGCTTGTGTAGAATGCGCTTTACTGCGCGCCGTCTGGACCCTTTCCCTTAGATGCCGCCATTACGCTCTTGAGAACTTTGCGCCTCTGCGCTTTCCTCCCGTCCTAGCCAGTAGTCATATCCAAAATGCCTCAGCCAGCTTCCTTATCGCTCTGCAGCTCACTTGTCTCTCCTTAAGCCATCGTCGTTGGATGCAGTAGTATTTATCTCATGCGCTGAAAGCCTTCGTACCCGTCCTATCCAGTGTCGACCGTACGACCACGGACATGGCATATGTGTTGTCGCTCCGGCCTCAGAGCCCACTCAAGCGGTCCTTCAGCGACAATCCATACCTCAACTCCTGCTCTCCTCAGAAAGACACACTACTGGCACCACTGAGCGACATTACTGCTCGCAATGCTTCCGCGTGCTCGTTGTATTCTCTTGGGGCGACTAGGGCAGGCGACTGGTCTCGGAGCAACGAGAACACACCACCACTTACCTCTCAGTCGCTCCTCGATCTCGTGCCTGAGAAAGCCGGCTTCCCATTCAGTACAAGACATGTCATCGAAGAACCACGCAAGCGGAACTGTGGGCCTGACCGACCACCGCCATCTTTCTCAAGACTCACAGTCCCG